ATGGATAGGAACTCAGTGGGATAGTTCAGAAGTAATCTCTTGAGGTGGAGATCTCGTTGGAGACTGTGAGAAGATAGATCCAGGTAGACTCTACTACGGTTGGTTCTGCTAACTCAATAGATCAAACAGGGCTTGGGGAACGAGTTGAGGAGACTAGAGGTGACGAAGGAGAGGCGGGAAATGATGGGGAAGGAAACATAATGAAGGAGAAAGAGAGATTGTGAAATAAAAATCGGAGAGGAGAGGGGTCTTCTGAGAACGAGAATGTCGTCGGATTCAGATCCGCCGCTGCACTCTTCCACTCCCGCCGGTGGGAAGATGAAAGGAGAGATGACGACCGGAGAGAAGTGTGGAAAGGGATAAGGAGAAGAATGAGACAAAAGAATGAAAGAAACCGAAGAGTGGGAGACTCACCCGCCACTACTCTGTTCGACGGAGATCAGAGACGATGAACAGCGCCCTCTCTCCTTTTTCCTCCCCCATTCGAATTCTTCGGATCAGGGCGAATGAAAAGATAAGATTGAATTTAATTGGGAGGCAGGGGTAATTTTGTAATTTTGGAGAATATTGGGGTATTTTGGTGATTTTCGACAACTGGGTCAAAGCGGGTCCAGTGGGTTGAATCGGGGTTCTGGTCCAGTAGTGGGTGGTTTTAGGTCAAAAAATGGAAGGTTGAGATGGGTTTGACGGCGAAGAAGGGTTTTGTGTGAATGGGCTAACGAGATTGACTGAAACAGAGTCTTTTTAGATGGAGAGGTAAGTGATGGTATTTTTGGCTGAAATTTCAGAGGGTGTGGTCTTTCGGTAATCTACGATGATTGGTGGGGTCATCTTGGCCTAATTGGGCCTGGATCGAGCAGATCTAAAAATTGTTTGATTCGGCTAATCTGGAGCTTCGGAACGGAATCTAAGTGTCATCAAAGGGAAAATAGGTTTGCTTTAGATGAAACTTCTTAGGGCAGGATTTTTTGGTAGTCTGAGGTGATTGGTAAGGCTTAGTTCATGGGTTGGGTAGCCCAACGGGTCGAACATAGATTTGAGCATGCGGGCTTAACTTCAGGCCTAAAAGCTTGAGCCTGACTTATGGGCCAGGCTCGGAATTTGTTAGAAAAGCTCGGCCCAGCCCAACTTTTAGGTAAAACCAAAAACCCTAAATATCCTAACCCATCTCTTCTCATTCATCTCTTTCTAGCCAAACCTCAGTTTTCTCTTCTCAGCAGTCGAACACTCACCGATGCAACTTCACACTCTCAAGCAGACAAAACCGGCGAACACTCACTGGCGCAACCGGTGAACTCTGGCGGTGAGTCCTCTCTCTCTCATTACTCTTCTCACTTCTCTCTGAATCTCAGATGCAAACTTAGGCACCAGCGAGGCGGCGAACACAGGCACCGACAACGGTGGTGAGTCCTCTCTCTCTCTCAGACGCAAACTCAGCAGTGGCGAACACAATCACCGGTAGTGAGTCTTTCTCTTTACCATCTTTCTGGGCTTTGGGCTCGGGCCCGGGCCTAACAAAATCCTCTTTATGAAGAGTAAAAGCCTGGCCCATGAATAGGTCTAGTAAGGCTGGATTGTGCCAACTAGGCCCAGATCGGATAGACTTGAAATCTAGTCAATTTAGAGCCTTAAAATGGAATCTTGGTGCAATTGAAGGGTAAACGGATTTGGGTTGAGATTTCACAAGTTGGTATCTGGGGGTTCCTGGGTTCTGACTATGAAGTTTTATCAGGCTTAGAGGGTCAAGATCGTAGGAGTTTGGGTCAACAAGATGTTTCGGAATAGAATCTTGGCTTGATGGAAGAGCAAATGGGGAATCTGGGGGTGAAACTTTATGGGCAAGTGTTTTGATTTATCTGGACTTTAATGGCATGGTTTGATCGTTTCGGATGTGTCAAGATCAAGGAAATCTGGGTTTCAAGTGTTTAGGCTAACGAGAATAGTCAAAATGGAATCTTTGTTTGATGGAAGGGTAAATAGAGAAATTTTAAGCTAAAATTTCATAGGTAGGTATTTTGGGGGGTTTGGGGTCTGGTGGTTGTGTCTGATCTAATGGTTGTGGTGTAAGCGGGGGTTGATCGAGGCTATTGAATAGGTATCGGGCATGTTTAACGATGGATTTGGGGGCTTTGAGGGTGAAAATTGAGATTTTTGTATTTTTTAGTGTTTCAAAAGGATCGAAATGGTCTAATCGAAGGTTTGAGATGAATTGGAAGTTCAGATGACAAGCAACTGAGCAAAAATCGAATGCTACCATCACGCTAAGGGATTATTCATGTTATCTTCAAGATCACTCTTCTCTTTTCCTTAATAATTTATTTATTTTACTTGTTTACATGTGTATCATGTTTATGGTGGAGCAGATTTCGATGAATTAGAATCCCACACTAACAGGCACCTCTAAGATCCTAGATCGTTAATATTGAACAACTCCACCGTACCCGTTTCAGGTGACTAAATCCTCGGGCTATTCAATCCAACCACCAGAATTGAATATAACAAATATTTCATCTAAACAATTCAACAACTAAAGAAAAAAAAATTATAAGTATTACCGAATTCATTAGAAGAACTAACATGCATAGATGAATTACCAGTTATCAAACGTGATAATTTTCTCACCCACTTATCTTAAATGTAATGAAGAGAAAATAAAACAAAAGAAACACATCGTTGTTTGAAGCACAACAGCGATGGTAGAAGGGAAGGATAATCCTATTATGGAGATAATTGGAAATTAGGAATTAGGAAGGAGAAACTTAAAGTACAACAAAATAAAAGAACGAAATTTGCAGATCAGGGAGAACTTACCTAGATCGAATATAGGCCTTGACACAGATGCTGCAATAGGGTAGGCCAGAATTAACTTTCATCCGAGATTATGGGATTATGCTTTCGGACTATATGAAACTTGTTGTCGTTGTCTCTGTTAAACCAACAAGCGAAATTAAATCTATGTGGTAGATTGGGGAGGTCGAAACTAGAAAAATAGGTATGGACAATGGAGGATGAAAATATTTGCAGTAAAATAGTGAGAAATCATCGAAATATTGGAGGGAAAACCGAATGAATTCCGCCGGTATGAGATCCTTTTTCATGAATGGAAAATAGAGGAAAATGATGGTCCGTGTTCATGGCTGATGGTCTGTGTTCTTCCCCGACCAATTGTTCTCATCATTCTGTATCATCATGCTAAGGGATCGTTCATGTTATCTTTTAGGGTTAGTCTTCCCTTTTTCTTAATAATTTATATTTTATTTATTTACATGTGTATCTTGTTTACGATGGAGTAGAATTGATGCTGCTCAATCTGAGGTGGTGTACGAATTGAGGAGAGCAATTAGATAGTCCTTGCCAACAGGGCAGTGTTGAGCTACAAGGACGAAGCCGCGCTTCAAGACCTGTAATCAAGAAAGGAGATGTCAGAGGCCCGAAGTGTTTTCCCCGGTAGGCACTACAATGCTCAAGTCAGTATGAGGTGGTGGATGGTCGGGCCGAGCAACAGTGTGGGTGTCAGAAGTTGAATCCCTTACCTCACCTTTTTATAGCTGAAGACCCATGTCCGGGTTGGATTAGGCTTCCGGGGTTGCCCGGATGAGGTTGACCACCAAGGTTCTTGGGATAGGGTCCTATTCCCCAGTGGGGTTGTCCTCCTCTCTCTTATCCGCGGTTGTGCTTATCCATATGATGTGTGAGCAATGTAGTTGAGGGGCTAGGATGAGGGGCCATAGTAATAGCGTAGCTCAGTCGAGCTATGCCGACGTGGCTGGGCTGACCGAGCAATGACTAGGCGGCCACTTGTCTCCTAGGATCAGTTCAGCCATGACCCAAACACCACTCCCCTAGTTCTGAAGTCGAAGAATGAAGCGTTCCTCGGTTGATGAACTTTCAAGTTGAAGTTTGGTCCATTTGGTGTTACTCGGTGCTTGCCATGACTTAGGATCTAGGCAATGTGGAGTGTGGTTGAGGAGTCCTTCAATCATTGGGTGCAGAACTCCCAAAATCCTAACTTTGGAATCTGAACACCACTACCCCAGTTCTGGAGCCGAGGAGGGGGGGGAGTGCTCGGTCGAGGTATTGCGCGGTGTCATGCATAGCTCAGATCCGAGCACCGAGGTGTTGATTCGAGTTTCGTCTGAGTCTCTCTGATGCTCGATAGTGCCATGCCGAGGAGGGTTTCTAAGCTTTGTCTGAGTCTTCCTGATGTCCGATGGTGCTGTGCCGAGGAAGGGGCCGAGCTCCGAGGTCTAGGCCTCTTAGATTCTCGGTTGTGCTATACCAATGAAGGTGTCGGGCTCTGAGGTCTAGGCCTCTCTGATGCTCGGTTGTGTTGTACCAATAAAGGTGTTAGGCTTTGAGGTCTAGGCCACTCTGATGCTCAGCAGTGTTGCGACGAGGAAGGGTTCTCTATTCTTCAGCTAAGGAACTTGTTCTTGAAATTTCGAAATTCGAACACTACTCCCCCAGTTCCAAAGTCGAAGAGTGGAGTGTCCGGTTGAGGCACAACGCAACCTCCCTTGGTTGGCGTATTCTACTGCTGGGCATCCAGAGGAGACCCTAGAGGCTGATTGGACCAGTGCTAGTGAATGGGGCAGTGGTAGACTTCTTTCTAGCCAATAGAGGTATAAGACAAGGAGACCCCCTTTCTCCTTTCT